ACACAAGACGCTGAGTCGGTTACTTGCGGTGGTCATGCAGCCGATGGGCTGTGGAGTTTTGAATTAATGTTCGACTGGAGCACCCCGCAAGTGCTTCTGTCCGGCTCTTCTGCCAAGAACGAAGTCCCCTGGGCCCCCGTGCACTTCGGCAGATATTCTCTTCTTCAGTTTAATTTTTAAAAGTTATACATGAGCTGCGTCTCCATCTCGCCGCACCAGAAGTGAGAGCAGCGGGTTGGACATCCCTGACACATGGGGCTAGATGTGAACTACCTCGCCTGGTATGAAGGATGTCGTGGGTTCGAACCCCACCGTTACATCTGTATATTTGGTGTTTCGTGTCTTTCTCCCTGTGGTCGCGTGGATTTTTCTCCGGATCCTCATTTTTTCCCCTCCACATTTAGAAACATGCGTTTAGAGTATTTAGCTGCTGTAAATTCCACACAATAAGCCACTTCGTTGAGCTATCATTTGTGGTCAGATCGCTTTTGAAAAAGAGCTGTGTAGCTCAGTGGGCCTTGCCTGGTAAAATAAAAATAGTTTAGTTTCGTCATTTTAGTTTATAGATCACAATGATGATGATGGTGGCTTGGGTCCGCACACACACACACAGTCTCTCCATTTTTCAGAAGTATAGTCAGTATATCATAACCATCAGCCATGGTCAATCCACTGCTGGATGGGGGCCTTTTAAGGCACCACCACCTCCCATTATCACGTGATGTCATAATCCTCCTAGCGCTTGCACACAAACTGATTTACCCCTGGCATATACTAAACTCTAATTAAAGCTCTGCTTTTCCTCCTAGCCTGTGTCTGTGTGGCTGTCAAGGCGGCGAAGGGTATAGGAAGGTCTAGAGATGGGGGGGAGGGGGTGGTTGGACGCACTGCGTTTGCTTAGGGGCCAGACACCGACGGCCTTCGCGCGGGGGCCCTGTTCCGTGTCACTCGTTGGTGCCTCCGCACACGCGCCTCGTCCAACGCAACAGCTGTCGCCGAAACGCCAGCGGATCTTACAAAGGAAGAAGACGAGGGCGGCCGCACTCGCGAATAAATAACCGCGGCCTCTGTTTTACCAGGTGGCGAGCCACTGGGATTCATTCGTTATCCCAAGTCTCCACTGTAAGAGACTCGTCTCAATGGGCTTCCACCTGGCTATGAATATGGGCCTCTCATTGATGGAAGCGCAATGGTAGTGGGTTCCCAACTGCCAACACAAACAGGCAGTCCGCTCTTTGCCATGATACATGACCCATCCCACTATAGGCGCACCTGTGCATCGTAGCGGTTAGCTCCGTGCCTAAGAGCAGGTAACACATGTTGAGCATTGCCGGTGTGATGCATCACCTTTTTTCTTCTTTAAATCGCTAGGGTGCTTTAGGTTTGAGACTTAAAGTTTTTTACATCCACAAATCATTCATTGAACCTCCTCCTCTTTTATATAAATACCGCACACACGTACACGTGCTTTTTATTGCACGATTCAGTGTCGTTATTTATTGCAAATATTGTGCCGAGCAAATAAATTAAACCTCCTTCCCGTGTCTATTCACCAGTGCCCCATCCTTAACCTCCTTCAGTCCCTCTCTTAAAACCTCACCACCTCTTATCCATCCTCTCCCCTCGTCCCTCCATCCCTTCTCGTCCCTCTCCTGTAGCCCTTGCGTGATCCCTCAGCACCCCCCTATCACTGCTGTCACTTATTCCTCAATCCTTGAAGCACGCCCCTGCCATCTAAATGAGTCTAGTGTCACCGTTGCGTAAGCTATGTCAAGCGCCTTGAGTGAAGGCGCTCTATACATATAAATGAGTTTATGCATGTTCAACTTCTTTTGCTCCGTACGGAGCCAAACGTGCTAATCGGAGATGGCATGTACACACAGAGATCTGTAGTGTTGAGATGGACGGTGTTCGCGAGCACCTACCAAGGCCAGCGAATTATAATTAAACCGAAGTTGACCTCGGCGAGGCCCAAGCCAGGTTGCACACGACCGGGAATTGAACTGGTGGCGCTCTGCGCGGTGCATGAACTGCGACGCTGCTGTGCTTCATACGTAAGAACCCAGTGAGCATAGAACGTTGGTCCAACGGTTACAACCACAGGCACACGTGGACACACAACAAAGACAAATGTCTCCCGTGTAGCCTACGCACGCTGTTGGAAGCAAGTGCTGTTAGCGAACACCGATTAAGGCCAACTCGACATACGAGGATCTTGCGCGGTCAGCATCACGCGCCGGCCGCCTTTGTCTCCCCAGTGCCGATGTTTACACCCCGTACCAGGTACTCACACACACACACAGCACGCGTGCTGGCTGTGCGTGGCGCTGTCCTTTGGTGGCGCTTCTCAATTCTCCAGCCGACAGCACCTGACGCAGCCACTGGGGTGGACATTCCACAGTGCTCTGTAGGGGAATCAAGTACATCTATAGGACGACAACCGCAGACTTCCCACGATGTGGTATCCACTTTATCGACCCTGGCAAGATGATGGGATGAGTCGACCCCACTGTCTGGATTAGTACATTATACATATGTACAGCATGTGAGTATCTGTATCCGTATTTATACTGTATCATTATACATTCATTATTTGGTGACTGCATTGGCAGTAGTGCAAAAGCACAGTTAAGAAAATCTACACATTCATCAATGACACTGCCTTAAAATATGTAACAGGCGACGTTTTTGGCAATAGCACATAAATGGTCCATCTATGTGTTGAGTATATATGAGAGTATTTATATTTTGTTGACCGAGTTCGATTCCCGCTCACGGTCAACAGCGGTGACGAATGTCTGAACCGGTCCTGGGCCTCCCTTGCGTCGACTCAGCCTCAAATGACGACTTGGTGCGGTGTGTAGATAACATCGCCACTGGGGAGACAAAGGCGGCCGGGCGTGGTGCTGGCCACCCACCCTCTCGTGTGCTCGGCTGGCCTTCATAGATGCTCACGAACAGCACTTGCCCCAAAGAGTATGTTAAGGCTATACAGGGGATCTTTGTCCTTCATGAATATATAGGATGATTAATTTATAGGCAACATTATTATAAAAAAATGTATACTTAATTTCAAAGCCTTACAATGCTGGACACCGATTGAATCGTTGACTCTCTCCTCTGTAACATACGGAGCCATTGCTTTCACAACATTCTGTTGAGAAGCGAGTCACTGGGGGTAGCTCTAAACGAATCGCCGTGAATGTCCATTTCAGTAAACAATTGCAAGTGTACCGTGAGCAAATCAGAATCCGAATATTTATTTATAGTGGAGGAATCCGATGAGCTAAAACGCGCTTGTTCACGGATGTCCAGCCGGGCCCCGGGTCAGAAATAAACAAGTAAACCCGTAAAAACAAAGTTTTTCACTCTAAATCCTTTATATGCGTGGCGGCTAGAGTTCTCTCGTCCTCTGGCTTGAGATGGCTGCAATCTATGGGTCAGATGATTGTCTGCCAGTATTAAGCAATTGGTAATTAAATATTTAATTAGTTTTCCCTAAACAGTGTAAAATTTTGGAAAAAAAAATTAACGAAAATTAATTGTCTGGCACAACGAGTCTGTGTGGAAAATGTCAGCTCGATTGGATCACGGGAAGTGGGTTAAAAAACGACCGAAAGATTTGCACGGTCCTAAGCAAGCAAGCAAGCACGCGAACTTAATATAAAGGATTTAAAAACGAGAGGAATGCAAATAATTAAACTATTTTTGTTTTTTAACCGAGTAAAGGCCACTGAGCTTTCTTACCTTATTTTTCAGAAGCAACCTGGCAATCACAGATGATAGCTCAACTGACTGGCTTATCACGTAGACATTTCTAGAAGCCAAATCATTCTAAATGATGCTACTGCTGTGTACGTTTGTAACAGTACGTTGGCCCGACAATGATCGCTGTACACGTGCGTGTGAGTGTGTGGTACAAATGCCCTCTTTGGGGCTGGGGCACAGACCGTGACACTTCACGTGCATGTTTCTATTCTAGAATTGTCCTTTTCTCCAGATTATAAGACGCAATGTTGCACCACCACCCCTCCACCCCCCCCCCCCCCTTGTTCACATAATTTAAAAAACAAGCTAGCGGGGGGGGGGGGTCTTGTAATTGCGGTGGGTGAATGCGTGTAAACATATTTGCATAACTTTGCATAGACCAACGTTTGTGCAACCAACCTAACTAAACTAGATATTACATTTTTCTTTTTACCAGGTATAAGGCTCACTGAGCTCTGCGACTCTTTTATGAGAAGCAACGCTGTCCAACCACATGGCCCAACGTTGGCTTAAAGTTGCCACGGCCCAAGCGTTAGCACTTGTTGTGTGTGTATGTGTGTGTATGTGTGTGTGTATGTATGTGTGTGTATGTGTGTGTGTATGTGTGTGTGTATGTGTGTATGTGTGTGTGTATGTGTGTATGTGTGTGTATGTGTGTGTATGTGTGTATGTGTGTGTGTATGTGTGTATGTGTGTGTATGTATGTGTGTATGTGTGTATGTGTGTGTGTATGCGTGTTCCACTTTACTGGGAGGGGAACTTTTTTGGGTGGCGTCTTACTTTCGGGAGCGTCTTTCAATCGGGAGAATACGGTGACAGCGCGTGCACGAGAGAGAAGTGGAGAGAGAGATGATGGGTGGCTTAGGGGTTGTGGAAGAGAACGAATTGATGAACGAAGCAAAGTGCCGACTACACCGAGCATCTTTTTGTTAGCTCTGATCGTAAAAAAAAGAGAGCGAGAGAGAGAGAGAGATGGGTGGCTTGGGGCTGTGGAAGAGAGCGAGAGAGAGCGAGAGGAGCGGTGTGGGAGGGCTCGGGGTAGAGAGCGAGAGACACACACAGAGAGAGAGAGGAGTGACACACACAGAGAGAGAGAGGAGTGGGAGGAGAGTTCCTATGCTAATGAGGGCTAGTGTGACGTGCCGTAGAGTGGTGGTGGTGGTGTTGGGGGGGAGGGTGCTGGTGGTGGTGTTGGGGGGGAGGGTGCTGGTGATGCTGTGAGCGCACACGCAGCAAAGCCGCTCCAGTCTGGTCCGCTCGCTCACACTCGGCCGAGCCTCTCTCCTCTCCCCTCCTCCTCTTCCTCCTCTTCCCTTCTCCCTGCCGCCAACTCCACCTCGGCACCGCGGACGTAGACGCGGCCACGCCGCAAGCGGCACCACACGCACCGCACACGCAGACGTCGTCGGTCGCTCTGGACCTCTCGCTCTCTCTCGCTCGCTCGCCACCTTATGCACCACCGTAGGACACACACACACAATTTACGCACAACTTACACACACACAACGTACACACACAACGTACACACACAACGCACACACACAACGTACACACACATGCACACAACTTGCGCACACAACTTACGCACACACACAACTTACGCACACACACAACTTACGCACACGAACGCAGCGCTGGCTAAGGGAGAGAGATAGACTTTGCGGGCAAGTGTTCAACACACGCACATAGGCGCGCAGCGTTCCGCCGGGCAAGGCACACAACCACCAACACCACCACCAACAACAACAACCACAACCACCACCGCCGATGGGAAATTCGCCAGCCGTGAAGCAATGGGCACGGAAGACGAAGCCGTGATTGCGGAAGAGGAGTAGAGAGAGCTGTTCCCCAGCTTGCCAATTCAGATCGCACTATTATTGTACGTTGTACACGTTACACACATATATACACATATACACACACATATACACACACACACTCGGCATCACCACCGTCTGGGCGCGCGTGTTGAGCTGAACCCGCGGCCACCACGACACGGGGTCGTGGTGCCAGTGAAGCAGTGGCAGCAGGCGGAGGCACCGGTGGCTTTGTGTCGCTCCCTCTGTGTAGGGGGGCTAGGGGCCAGCTACCCACCACCGGCTTGTGTGCACGTCAAGTGTGTGCGTGTGTGCCCGTAAGTGCCATCCTCTGAACTCATTTCTCTGGAATATATCAAGCCAAGAAGACACCACCATCATCATCATCACCAGCAGCAGCAGTAAGATCGTCTGCCTGCCCTGCACCCTGCAAGGCGGGGATACAGGTACATTGTGTGCCGGGGTATGTCGCCAATCTGTCGGCCGTGTGGTGTGTGTGGTGTGTGTGGTTTGTGTGTGTGGTGTGTGTGTGTGGTGTGTGTGTGTGGCGTGTGTGTGTGGTGTGTGTGGTGTGTGTGTGGTGTGTGTGTGTGTGTCGTGTGTGTGTGTGGTGTGTGTGTGTGGTGTGTGGTTTGTGTGTGTGGTGTGTGGTTTGTGTGTGTGTGTGTGGTGTGTGTGGTGTATGTGTGTGTGTGGTGTGTGTGTGGTGTGTGTGTGTGGTGTGTGTGGTGTGAGAGAAGTGAGCAGCAGGGCTGTTGGAAGGCAGCAACCACTTCAATTTAAAATTAGATTTGTTGTTCGACATCAATAAGCGGCCATACGAAGAGGGACTTAACAGTGTGCAGACACAAGACACGGCATTGCTGAAGGGCTCTTGTGTGATGGTGATTCCTAGTTGCACTTTGAAAATGATGTGTGGATGATGCACGAATTTTTAGACTATAACTACATTCACTCATCTGAATTGTATGCGCTTGCTGATTGTCTATTTTTAAATCTGTATATATATTTATCAATGAATGTATATGCCGAGGAGTAGTTGATAAGTCAAAGTGTGCGCAACTGAGCGAATACAAACACTCGATTCGACTTACGGCATTGCCGTGTTATTTGCGCCAATGCGTGCCGAATCGCATCGTCTCGCGTGTTCCACGTTGGGTCGCACCTGGCGAGGTGAGATCGTGTGCGTCTCTCACCTGCACGCTGGTTGTCTTGCTCTGTTGCGTGATGAAGCGTACACACAGCGTGCACTCTGATGTACTCATTGACAACATAGTTGCGTGTGTGTGTGTGTTGTGAGATACGCACTTGATGTAAAGACGCACTGTGGTGTAGTGGGTAAGGTTTATGCAATGTGTGTGTGTGTGTGCCAACTGATATATTGTACACGGCACACAGTGTATAGTAGTAGCACTATACATTGAATATGTCCGTAGCTAATATGCATACTTTTTAACGTTAATCGGGTGCACGGTTAAGGTACTGTGTATTCCAGTGTATATAACATTACTGTGTTAATTTATTTCACACATTGTAGTACATAGTACTGCAATGTGTGTAAGTATTGATTCCTTCTTGCATAGGCCTACATGGCAATATAGTCCTGCTGTCCATGCAGTATGCAGCACAATACACAATCGGCTATATGTACAATCTGTTGAGAATGTTTCATATCTTTGACGTCTAAATTACGGTATATATATACCAAATGTGATAACGACAACCACATGTACATATGTTGATCACTCTCTTCTTTGTGCATGTTATCACATGCACTAACAATGGGTACATTGATAACGTGGGCTTCTACTGATGTATAACAGCCAAGTCATGCACGCATTTACCAATGTTAGTGCCTCTAAAATACTTTAATATCCGTAGTGTATGCATGTATGTGTGCGTGTGTGTATATGTATGTGTGTATATATGCGTGTGTATATGTGTGTATATGTGTGCGTGTGTATATGTGTGCGCGTACAACATTATTGTCTACATGCAATGTTGTGCACTGTATTTCCACCACATGTCTTGTGCACACTTAAACAATAGCCGCTGCCTTCTCTATTACTAAGCGTATCGGTGGTGTCTTTGCCCAGTATCAACGTTTACGTTAATACACGAGCCAGCAGAGCACGACTTGTGAGATTTGACAATGCCTTGCAATCTGACAGCTATACTAGCCACGTCTGTTATACACAATGTCCAGTAATATTGTTGTTAATACGAGAAGAATACATAACACCGGTCACCATCATGACAGTAGCCTTACAATCCCATACTGACTATCAACGTCCAACGAGACCCTATCAATGTATTAGTCCTCCATGTGTATTTGATAACGTTACACTTACGCAGTATTTGTCTGTGTTTATTCTGTACGTGCTGCATGTATCTTACAAGGCTTACCATGAAAGCATTAGCCATGTCTGTCTTATGTGTTGTGCAAGCACACACACACATATACGTATTGTGCAGACCGGAGTATCACGATGCAATGTGTATTACATAGAGGAACAAGCACACACAATGTACACAATGCCCTCATGTTGTATACACGCCTGCTATTGTACATGCAGCACACGGACATTTAAAAATGCACCACATGCTGGAATGGTTCGAGAAATACAACTCGATTTGCACTGCATAACACAGTTATGATGTGTACACTATATACCGTTCACACACACACACTATATATTCATACAGATACTATTCATACAACACAAACTGCAGAATCATACAATCACACAATACAGTACAGAGCTGTGATGCGTTGTAAGGTCAGGGACCTTAATCGTCTAATGTGTGTAATACATTATGATTTCCCCCCCTCTGTGTGTTAACATGAACGTGTTTAATGTATCAGAATCGGCAACGATTCTTGTTGAAACACGGATGCTCGAGTAGGCGCACCGTGCCACATGGAGACCCCCATTGCATTATTATTGAAGACGCACTTCCACGCTCACGAGTCTCTGTCTTCTAAAGAGATTCGGTAACGATTACATAACCATTAGCACAAGCAGCTGCCGTGTTGAAATCAAGTTTATTTCATATCAACGGCCCTCCACGATGGATTCAATTTACAAAACCGGAGTATGAAACGTGGTTATGCAATACATTCATACTGTGGCGTAGTGTGGACATGACTGTGTGTAAGCCACATGTTGTCTTGATAAATTGCGTGTCAGAGGCTTAACATTGCGCCTACTGCCCCAGGAAAACCTGAGTTCTATCAACTCGACAATGTTCTCTTTTACCAGGTAAGGCCCACTGTGCTATATGGAGCGACCTGCCCATCACGAATGATTGCTCAACGAAGTGGCTTATCACGTGGAAATTGACAGCAGCCGAATACTCTAAACGCACGTTTATTCTTACTGTGGAGGGATAAACCGGATGGCTCGGATACAAATCCATGCGACCACAGAGAGAGAGAGACACCGCAAACCTCAAATACACAGCAGCAGCAGCAGGCGGGGACGTCCGGGTCGGGATCGACCCCACGACCTCCTGTACACCAGGCGAGGTAGTCAACATCTCATAGCCACCGTCGTCCCAATTCCTGGCCATGCACAGCATTTACCGGTGGCAAATCGGTGTCCTGTACCCAGCCTCATTCGTGCTCGTATCCCCTAGGTCGGCTCGGCCTAAAATTAGTACCTGGTGTATTCGGTTTCCGAGATGGGACACACACGTTTTTTTTACTCAGTGTGTAGACCTTAATATGTGCTCGCTAAAAGTTAGGTATGGTGTGTATTCTCCATCAGTACGTACTGTATAATGCAGACCTCTTGTGGTTTGGTAACAATCCTCCAATGCTTTAGAGTAAGGGGTAACCTACCCACCTGCAAACTGTCTCTACGCAGTAGTAACATGTCTCGTCTGTGCCGCAGTGTTAAGCACAATCTTGTTTAAATGCCACCATGTATGGAGCTATAGATTAGAAAGTTGATGTGCGCATGGCAAGCGGTGCTGCCCTCTATGGCAAAGAGTCAAGAATGCAGGCAAAGACCGAAAAAAAACCGATACACGAATGCTCCAACATGCACAGGCAGGACAGACACACACAAATTCACACTCACACACACGGACACAGATGGATGGTTACGCAGACAGAAATACAGACACTTGGACAAGCACACAGACAACACGTTGATGCTCGGGATACATTGTGACATGGATACACACACGTGCACAAGCTGCACTCAATTGACACACACAGATCGGCACACAACATTGATTCGACAAAAGCACAGACACATTGACAGGCATATGCAGAAAGAGACATTGACACGCATGCAACAGACGCGTAGAAATACACACATCGACAGAAATGTGCAGACAGACGACGCACAGACACACACACACGGCCATGCAGATACGCACAGACTGACAGGCAGCTGCTGTGGTCAGGGGCAAATAGGGGGTGTTGGCGTGGAGCTGTGTAACAGACGGCAGAGCTAAGTCAGGGTTCAAAAGAAGACACAGGGGTTGGGCATAATCTCTCCCCACGCTGTGTGAAAAGTGGCCATTCAGTGGGACAATGGTGCAGACGTGGTGCTGGTGTTGTACGAGCCACTTGCGAGTCTGTCTGTGTGTGTCTGTCTGTCTGTGTGTCTGTGTGTGTGTCTGTCTGTGTGTCTGTCTGTGTGTGTGTCTGTGTGTGTGTCTGTGTGTGTGTCTGTGTGTGTCTGTGTGTGTGTCTGTGTGTGTGTGTGTGTCTGTCTGTCTGCCTGTGTGTCTGTGTGTGTGTGCGTGACAAATATTGCGGTAGCGCAGCGGTTAGCGCGCTGCGCTACGAACCCGGCGACCCGAGTTCGATTCCAGCTCACGGCCACCGACGCAGGTGACGTTTATCTGAACCGGTCCTGGGGCCTCCCCAAGGTCTCCAATGAGTATCTGGTGCTATATGTAAACATGGCCACTAAGGAGACAAAGGCGGCCGTGCGTGGTGCTGGCCACCCACTGCCTCGTGTGCCGTGTCGGCTTTCATAGGTGCTCGCTGACAACAATTCCCCCAACAGTCTATTGAAGCTGTACGGGGGATCTTTGTCTTTTATGATAATTATTGCATCAATTTTATTTAAATTTGTACCTGTTCCTCGTGTTGCACTTGCAAAGACGTTACTGCATTCGTGCAGTCAGTCCTCAACAGTGTGCGGTGTCAGTCTGGGTGGCGATGTTGCACGAATTCCCAACCCACAGTTGGAAACTCGTGTGCGAGGAGTTCACATTCGAGTTGGTGGTCGACCCAAGACGATGTATGATCTCTCTGCGATCGATACATCATGTATCACTTTGTAGGATGGTGGTCGTCCTTTGGAGAGACTGGCCCCCACCATGCCAATGTGGAATTGTCACTGCTCGCTCAAGGCTACCCGTTGCCCGTTTTATCGGGGAGATGGATTCACGTTTTTAATGACTACACTGTTTACTCTCAGAT